CCGGGACCGACCAGCAGGCGCGGGCGGGGTGTCTCTCGGTCTCTTGGGTGTACATAAATCACAAAAAGAACAAACATCTGTAAAAGCTTTTTTTGTCATTGAGAAATGATTGTAGTTAAAAATCTGTGTTGTACCGAAAGACGATACATAAGATTGAGCACACTAACGGCTCCCCTCCCTCTCTGGTAGAACCCCCACCTGCTCCACTTTGTTTCTGTGACACCATCAACAGGCAGCAGCTCTGAATTCCCTCCTTCCTCTGGCTCCCCCATGTGTAAATGTACAGGTGGTGCATGATTGCAGCCAATGTGGATACATTCATGACGGAGGCAGGGACACCGAACACAATGAAACACACACTTAGCAGCAACAAGAACAGCAGAGGTGAAGGGACAAGAGACGAGGGCAGGACAGAGAAAGAGACAAACTGCTTCCTGTCAGAAGAATCACTTTTGACTCTGTGACTCTGGGATTCGCTGAGCGTTTCAGTGTGCTCCACCGTGTCGGACAGACGGCAGGATCCGTCATCTCATTTTCCATCTGTTACATAATCTGGATTATCTTCATCACTGCTTCCTCCTCCTCTAAAAGCCACGCGGTGTCACGGATCTGCAGACCTCTAGAGGTCAGCAGATCCGTGACACCGCGTATGTGTGCGACACGCGATCCGACTCCGCTGATACCCGCTCATCGGCCCGTCCGGCTCTTCGTCCCGTCGCAAAGAGACAGACGTGGAGAGGAAGAGGGGATTAGTCTCTCGTCACGCCTTCAAGTTCCTCTCTCTCTCTGTGCGGGACAGAGAGTCAGCCTTCGCTTCTCGGCCTCCTCTCAGAGTCTGGCCGCTAACGACCACTGTGACCCCTGACCCTAGCAGAGGTCGGAGACATAGTCAAAATCCTTGAAGTGGTCCTGTTCCTTGCGGGAGAGGGTGCGGCGCTCGCGGGGCGGCGTGAGGGCGGGAGCCTCGGCGGTGAACTCCACGTCAAAGTTGCTGACGTCTTCTTTTGCTCCGATGGTCGGGACGAACGGGGGCGGGGCCTTCCTCTGAAGAAGGTCCTCCCAGTCCACACCCTAAACACACAGGTACGTTCAGTTTCTCATCAACGGCACCCTCAGTGACATCAAAACTAAAAAACTAAAGTCTCACCCGGAAGAACGGCTGTTTTTTCACATCTTCGGCGTCCTTCTCTCCAGAGCCCAGACGTCTTTCTGGATTCCTCCTCAGCAACTACAAACAAAAAGCAGCAATTCCCCACCTGTTATTCTTTGTTGTCTAAGTGATAAGTGACCTAAAAAGTGCTGACATTTGCATATTTTTCAACATTACAAGCAAAAAAAAAGATAAAAGGTAAAATGGGCGGAGCCTGACCCGTCTCATGATGCCGATGGCTTCAGTGGAGAGGAAGCGAGGGTAGCGCACTTCGTCGTTCACTATGCTGTCGAAGACCTCCTCCTCATCGTCGCCTGGGAACGGAGACTGAAAGAAACGGACGCATTAGTTCGCATCGCATTACATATTAGACCTCTATGAACTCTGTCTCTAAAAGCCTCGATTGAATTATATATGAAAATATATTACCAGTCTATCAAAGGGTGGATGTTACCACCTACGCTCAGCCTGTACAAGCTCGTGTTCCATTAGGACGCCCGGGCCACAGCCCATCCGTCATTATTGACACTACTGTAGTGATGCCAAACGCTGGGCGATTTACCGCCATGTTACTCTCTTTTTTCTGTTCAGCCAAGCTAACCACCTGCTGGCTGTAGTTTTACATAATTCGCACAGACATGAGTGGTGGCCATCTTCTCATCCAACTCTTCCTTCACATTAATGTCTAACACCCAAGCATGCAGAGGTTGCCAAACATCTCCTCATGATCTTTGATAAACACTATAATAGACATTTTAAAAAAAAGAAACTACTCCAGCTCTGTATTCTCACCTCACCGACCAACATCTCGTAGACGAGCACCCCGAGCCCCCACCAGTCCACTGCTCTGGTATACGACGTGTCCGTCAGCACCTCCGGGGCCAGAAACTCAGGAGTCCCACAGAATGTGCTGGTCCTGTCCCCATACCCCATGCCTCAAGAGGAAGACGGGAGTGTGAGGGTCGGAGTAGATTTTAGGGGCGACATAGGGGGCCGGTAGGATGAATAAATAACAGACACTCACCTTCTTTACAGAGCCCAAAGTCAGCTATCTTCACGAAGCCCTCCGTGTCCAGCAGCAGGTTGTCCAATTTCAGATCCCTGACAGAGAAAAGGAAGTGGATTTATGTCGGATATTGAGGGAGTATTTATTCACCCTTTTTGTAGAGTATGTGCAATTATCCAAGTACTCACCGATACACAATCTTATGGTCGTGAAGGAACTGCAGACCCAAGACCACACAAGCTGAGTAGAACCTGTCGGATAAATGGCGGACAGAGAATTCAACATATATACGCTCGTACATATTGACGCTACATACAGTAATGGGTGCACGGACAAATTCCAAGAAGGCCCAATCATCCCGTTTCCTCTCTTTAACACACACACACACACACACACACACACACACACACACACACACACAGTAGAACTCACACAGCACGTGGCTCAGAAAAGACGTCTGCGTGTATGTGCATCATGAGGTCCCCTCCCGCCGTGTACTCCATGACGAAGCACACATGCTCTGGCGTCTGGAAACATGCGAACAGGTTGACCAGGAATGGGTGGTGCGAGCCGTTGACGGTCTCAAAGATCCGCTTCTCGCACATCAGACTGGAGACAGACAGAGGGGAGGCGGGGGGGGGTGCGACGTGAGACAGTGATTAACTGTGCGAGGTGAACGAGCTTCGTCGCGCGGAGACTTTCGATCGAGGTCGCCAAGCGCTACTAGTTACCTTTCCACTTCATCCCTCGCCACGATGTCGCCCTTCTTCAGGGCTTTGATGGCGTACAGGCTGCTTGTCCTTTTGTACTCCGACAGCAACACCTGCAGAGAGTCACATTTTTAGTTATTGTCAGTCATTTCTCATGAAGAGGACAAAACCAACAATGCGTGGGGTCGTGTGTCCTAATGTCACATTTTATTTTCAATTAACGATAAAAAAAATATTGATTTCTGCCGCTTTAAATATTTGACTAGAAAGATTTAAGAGGGAAAAAACTAGAAAAACTAGCAATTCCATAAAATATATTGAAGAGTTAAAGTACTTTGAGAAGAGACACAATGAGCTTTTAGACTAGCAGTGCCGGTTGTGTTCATCTTATGAAGGAAAAAGTAAAGTTCGAGTACCTTCCCAAAGTGGCCCCTGCCGAGCACTGCTATCAGTTTGAAGTCCTGGAGGCATAGAGGGCCTCTGCTTGGTCTGAGAGAGATTAAAGGCAGATTATAGACGCCGCATGCAACAAAACATAACAGCATGTCATATTTAAATGTGCCAAAACACTCCGCAGCATCTATGTTGTGATTTGACTAATGATGTTCAGCATGTGACTCGAATCGGCATCACACATCACGTATCTCATGTGAGGTAACAACACAGGGACATATTGTGTGGGGGGGTGTTTCTGGTGTCAAGCTGTGTTGGCCATAATGCAAACAGATATGCTCAGGTGTGGTTTCCGTGTGTGTGTGTGTGTGTGTGTGTGTGTGTGTGTGTGTGTGTGAGAGAGAGAGAGAGAGAGACAGAAATGGGTCCCCTTTGTGTTCACACCTGCGTAAAGAGTTCTGGGACAGAGATCTGGTTGGCTGCTCGGGAACAGGGACATCCGGCGTGGACGGGGGCTCAATGACCGGCGTCTGTTCCTGTGGGACACCGCAGAGACGAAGACAAGTGAGAACATCAGTGAAATGAGTGTGTGTGGGGGGAAAAAAGAAATAGAGGGACAAAATGAGGACCAAATGACTGCTGACATCTGTAACGCCCTTCAGTCTCAGCAGACAGACAGACAGACAGACAGACAGACAGACAGACAGCCGTTGAAGCTCATCAGGAGCGGTTGCCAGATCCCCTGCTGGCTGACAGCCTCACTCCTCCCCTCTTCCTGTCCACTCCACCCCTTGCTCACTACTAATTAGTTCTCTAAAAAAAAACATCAGAGTAATTAATCCCATAATACTTCAACCCCATTGAACACACCATCTGCCACAGGCCCTCTACTCCTCCGACTCTCTCTGTGCTCGTCTAATTCGGTGCGTCTGCCGCTCTGCTCTCTAAAATGCAAGTTGGCTTTATTGTCGTGTCCGTAACTAAGCACGGCATCGCCAGAGCATGTCGCACCAGGTCCACAATGACTGCGTAGTGATTCAGGATGCAAGAAAAAAATAATAAAGA